AATAAAGATATGTAGGCATGTGTTAGGATGATGGATGGTGGAAAAGTACATGGTAATGGAAGGGATAATGACATACTGAGTAAAGCTTTGGATCTGAGAGGATAAGAAAAACTGAAAAAGCAAGGACAACCATACAAGACAATTGTAAGGTTAAATACTGGTGAGATAGAAAGCAATAAAGAAAATGAATGACATTAATTGGGCAAGATAAGAGTGGCAAAGTCTTGTACAATTGTGGCAACAATATAAACAATAAATTCAATTAAAAATTTGATGTCGCATCACAGACCCGTTAATTGGGGAGCACAAATTCATACAGGCATGTCATAATCTGTAGAAAACAAAGGATTTCATAGAAACTTAATACTAACATGCTTTTATGAACTTGTGTCTCCCACCCACCCCACCCCCTTCCCTCAAATTATTGAGTTTGCTACAGCACTGAAAATTTGAATGGAACAAAATATTTTACATATTTCATTGTGCCAAGCATTAAATTTTGTTCCTATACACAGATCTAATAAAGGCACATACAGTAGTCTACTATGTATATGAGATCAGACTCTTATATTTATATGATATTAATTAAACACTCCAGCAACACAGGCCTTTGTTCAACAGTTGAGTTTCAAAGGCATATATTCACTAGTTTGATGTGTGGGATCATATAATCAGGGTTATTTAGGTAATTTATGTTAAATGTTACGTACTGATGTTTCATGATTGTTGCACAAAACATTTAACTCTTCAGGAGTCAAAGTTGCTGACTTGCAGAAACTGCTAAAGACATTGAGCAAGAACTTCCTTTTCAAAACAAAGATTATAATTATATGAAATTTAATTACAATCTGCTAATATAATATCAACAAATGTTAATAATTCCACCAACTTTCACATTACACCTGATGTTATCTTTGCGAGAAAACTTGATTTTCTTGCAAAGTAAGGTATTTTCTATCAAGTAAAACGAGTCACATTTTGTGTAAATTTCAAAAAATACTCTTACTCGATGCCATCAATCGTAACCACATCACTGACTACACACAGAATCATTTCCATTTCCAATATAACCGCGAATGACTCAATAAGCGCCCTTCCCCGCTCTCCCTCCATCAAAACACGAGTTTTTACATAAATGTGCAACCCAATAGCCAACGGTGACCACCACCACAGTGTATTAAGTTTTGAATAGAAATGCCTGGAATGTCTCATATCAATTTAACTACCCAACTCCCCCAGATAGAACAATTTAATCTCAAAAATACATGAAGACACAGTTAATTGATCAATGTCAATACCCTCAAGTGAAGTAAAAGGAAATTTGCCTTCTCCAGTTCTCCACCTTCCCAAAGTTATTTTTAATCAAATTAGGTCAACCATCACTAAAACTTGCCAGCTGCTGCTTAAACAACCAAGTTTACTATATACATTTTGAAATTTGAGAAGTCTTCACCAAAGAGTATATATTGAAAATTTATTCAAATATTGGCACAAGCTTCACACAAATGTTAAAAATTCATTTTGATCAAGCAGAAATAAAACATTCCGTTTGTATTTAAGAAAAAAATTCACATGAAAATATTTAAAGAACTGTTTAAATTGTTATCAAAAACTGTCACAATAACTAGAAGCACTTCCTGTGCACAATTGAGGGTCCAGATTCATCATATTCTTGTTTGGAGATCCACATCTGTTGGAAGGTGGAAAGAGAGGCCAAGATGGAGCCACCAATCCAAACAGAGTATTTTCTTTCTGGTGGAGCAATTACCTTAATTTTCATTGTGGGAGGGGCAAGAGCAGTTATTTCTTTCTGCATTCTATCAGCAATACCTGGGAACATGGTCGTTCCACCAGACAAGACAGTGTTGGCATAAAGATCCTTACGGATGTCAACATCGCACTTCATGATTGAATTGTAGCAGGTTTCGTGGATACCTGCAGACTCCATACCAAGGAAGGCAGGTTGGAAGAGTGCTTCTGGGCATCGGAATCGCTCATTGCCAACAGTGATAACTTGACCATCAGGCAATTCATAGGATTTCTCTAAACTAGAGCTGCTTGCAGCTGTGTCCATCTCTTGCTCAAGTCCATACATAACACAGCTTCTCCTTGATGTCTCTGACAATTTCACGTTCAGCTGTTGTGGTGAATGAGTAACCACGCGTCGGTCAAGATTTTCATGAGGTAATCTGTTAAATCACGACCAGCCAAATCAAGACGAAGGATGGCATGAGGCAAAGCATAACCTTCATAGATTGGTACAGTGAGAGACACCATCACCACTGTCAAACACAATACCAGTCGTCGACCAGAAGCATACAGGGACAGGACTGCTTGGATGGCAACATACATAGCTGGTGTGTTGAACGTCTCAAACATAATCTGTAAGTTAAAATTGTTTAATTAATTTCAAGGTACAAAACAAAGCATGATCTTCAAGTCAATGAGCATATAGTTATGGAAGAAAAGCTCCATGTCAAAACTATTAGTTATATGTTCTTTGGAACATATTGCTTCCAAAGCTGACAACAAAGCTTGAGCTACTCTTCATAGCAAACTATGTTTTCAATTGAATATGCAAATTATTCATAACAATATTGACATTCAAATATGACGTTCAGTCAAACACAGTTCAAAGCCAAGATAATTTGTTTTAAAAATCGTGAGATAATTGGTGAATGCGCAACTAAACATTAATAAGTTTAAAGGTTAATTTTTAAAAATTTGCGGAATTAGACAATCAAGTATTCGTCTCTCTCGATTAGACGATCGAATATTCTTATTAAAAGCTTGTACGAACACTTAATTACATTAAATTGATTATACAAACGGCAAGTACAAATCAATGGACTACTACAAGCTACAATGAAAATGAGTTTGTACCCTTCCTTAAATATAATGGTTAAATACACATCTAGCGCAACAGGTGGGAAACTGTAATTTCAGTAGCTTCACAATTATTTCATGGTTAAAAAAAAAGACGTAACTAGTAATATTGGGCGATTCATCTATGTTTTTAAAAGTAATTGCTATAAAAGCACTTATAATTTGTAACAAATCGATTCCGTGAACGAGCATTTCTCAAATGGCAACATGTCATCGCAAATTGACGCTAACCGTAGTCTTTCAATAAGTATAAGGAATTCTTATATGCCTAACGTACATTCCAATATCTTAGAAAGAAAGTATGAAGCACATGATCCTTAAATTATTTCGCCTCAATAATAGGAAGTTTAACAGAATCGATAAACTGACTGACAGAATATAATACTATGCTAATGTTACCACTTAAATATTTGTACCTGAGTCATTTTCTCTCGGTTTGCCTTTGGGTTGAGTGGAGCTTCAGTAAGTAAAACAGGGTGTTCCTCTGGAGCTACACGAAGTTCATTGTAGAAAGTGTGATGCCAGATCTATACAGCAGAACAGTAAACAGAAATTAGGCGTTACCCATATCACTTTGGGAATGAAATTAAATAGGCATTTCAAAACATACAGTACCTTTCCATGTCATCCCAGTTAGTTACGATGCCGTGTTCAATAGGATATTTCAACGTAAGGATACCTCTTTTACTTTGGGCTTCGTCACCGACATATGAATCTTTTTGGCCCATACCAACCATCACACCTTGATGGCGAGGACGGCCGACAATCGATGGGAATACAGCTCGAGAGCATCATCGCCGGCAAAACCAGCTTTGCACATACCAGATCCATTGTCAACAACTAAAGCAGCAACGTCTTCGTCCATTATAGAAAAATTCTACGTTATTTAAACAGTTGACACAAGGCTTTCTACTAGACTGCAGCGCGGTGTCACTACCTACTTGTCGCAGGAGGAAGAGGATAATGAAAGTCGACAGTGACGTCATTTCCTCATGCTTTGTCTTGTTTCCTAATAATTTCGTTGTAGCATATTTCCGCTTGTCCAATTCATATTTTACGGTATATTTTAATTTATATTTTCGTGCGAAAACGAATCATTATTTTGCTAAAAAAATAACATTTCATAGCAGGAAAAAAATTCGGAAAACGGGCTTAACCACTCTGTCATATGTTGACACTTGACATAATGTACGGGATAAAGTTACAAATTTGTGACAAATCAAAAAGTTTAATACACCACAACTACAAGTTGTAGTAGAAAAACACGATGGTCGTTTGCAATCAAAATAAATGACCAAAAAATTATTTCATTAATAGATCAGGAGGGAGAGTGCTTAACTGGCATATTTCCTTACAGCATGCACAAAACATAAAATGTTCATCTTCAACATTAAGCCACAGTGAAATGAAACAGCTTTTTCAAGAAACTTTTATTGAAATCCACGAAGCAAAACAAATTTGAGTTTCAAAAGAAGTCAAATCTCAAAAATTCGATTCGTGCAAACATTATTGCGATTGTGAACTCTATGGCAGTCACTGTGTCATTAATATTATGGAATCACTATGTGGCAGTCGGCGCATCGCCCTTTGAACAATACTCACAATACCATGCTGTTTGTGCGTGTTCCACTTAAATGTAAAAAAAAATGTACAATGTTTGTACATATATTTTTCCTAAAATCGACAGTCTTAATATCCAAAGAGCAAACGAGGGTGTCACGTGGCACGTGCATGTGAGTGTTTGACAAAAATGAATTGTAACAAATTGAAATGGATCAATGAACACACCATATACTCTCACACATATTAATTTCTTGTCATATACTACATCATAAGAAACATATGAAACAGAAGAAAGCCCCAAGAGTATTGTTCTCTAAAACTAAAACAACATTCTGGTAAAACATTGGGAGAATGCTAGAAGATAATCAATAACAAACTTTTCCCTTTCTTTGTCTTTTGCTTTCGTGCAAAATGTAGTCTTCTTACATTTACACGAAATTAAATTACCCCATTGTCTGATTTGTCTGAACTTTAAAGAATTGTTGCTTCGAAAACACGTCGTCACGTGACTGCGCTTATCTAATGCATGATCAGTAATTAGCAAAAGAGGATTTGCCGTGAGGACGATATGATAAAGCCTACTCAAGAAATTTGCAAATTTCAAAACAATAAATCGAATCGACCACAACTTTCTACTTCAACCTACAAATCAACATATGCATGTTAATTCCCGAAAGGTCAGGCAATACAATTTAATATTTCAAACCTATATCTATCAATCCTGGGCTGACAGGGCGGTGTTTAGCATGTATTCGGCATTTTATGGTCGATTTGATGTATCGTCAAACCTATATTTATGTCAGCAATTTTAGGCGAAAAACTCGTTAGGAAAATATCATTCACTAGCTTCGTCATTCGAGCTTTGCATGCTAACGGATGTAACTTGTTTGTAAGCGAAATTGCATTTTGTGAAGCGAAATTGCATTTGTAAAATATATTGAATTTTAACTTTCAAACATTGTCTACCGATAATGCCGCGCAAGACTATTCAAAACAATTCATGCAACAACAGAACTAGTTTTTTACGATGGCCCATTTCACAAAATATTAATACAATTTCGTGTGATATCTGTTTGCTTAAAGCGGAAGTAGTAATGTTCTCGGTAATCAGTCTCTGTTCAAAAATCGCGAAATTGAACACTTAACAAAATCTTTAATGGTATTGAAAAACATGGTTATCGTCATAGCGGAATAAAATGCGCTCAGACGAATAGTTAAACAACTACTATGTTGTCAGCGTATGAATAGCCCCAAACCACTAATATAACAACTAATATCATTATCAAAGCATTGTCCACAACTAACTAACCCCAACAGTTTCACCCTGACACTCCAAGCAACTTTATGGCCAAAACTACCGTAATTTCAAAAAGAAAAAATTCAGAAGACCTGCTTATTTACACACAACTGTCTGGTTTTGTTGATAATAATTATCTAAAATATGGTGGCATGTTACTAATATCAGTCATGCTTCAAAATAAACACCAAACATTCACAGTTTACGCTTTTTATTTCTTTCAATTTTTTATCAATTTTTGTTGAACTGTACAGACTCCTAACAAAAATATGAACAATTAATTTTGGTTTCACCTTACATTATGAATTTTACAACCAATGATGAGTAAAATGTTAAATTGAAAATAGAATAACAAACTGTTCAATGCTTAGAAGCATTTTCTGTGCACAATTGAGGGTCCAGATTCGTCATATTCTTGTTTGGAGATCCACATCTGTTGGAAGGTAGAAAGAGAGGCCAAGATAGAGCCACCAATCCAGACAGAGTATTTTCTTTCTGGTGGAGCAATGACCTTGATTTTCATGGTGGGAGGCGCAAGAGCAGTGATTTCTTTCTGCATTCTATCAGCAATACCTGGGAACATGGTCGTTCCACCAGACAAGACAGTGTTGGCATAAAGATCCTTACGGATGTCAACATCGCACTTCATGATTGAATTGTAGCATTGCTCATGGATACCTGCGGACTCCATACCAAGGAAGGCAGGTTGGAAGAGTGCTTCTGGGCATCTGAATCGCTCATTGCCAACAGTGATAACTTGACCATCAGGCAATTCATAGGATTTCTAAACTAGAGCTGCTTGCAGCTGTGTCCATCTCTTGCTCGAAGTCCAAGGCGACATAACACAGCTTCTCCTTGATGTCTCTGACAATTTCACGTTCAGCTGTTGTGGTGAATGAGTAACCACGTTCGGTCAAGATCTTCATGAGGTAATCTGTCAAATCACGACCAGCCAAATCAAGACGAAGAATAGCATGAGGCAAAGCATAACCTTCATAGATTGGTACAGTGTGAGAGACACCATCACCACTGTCAAACACTATACCAGTCGTTCGACCGGAAGCATAGAGGGACAGGACTGCTTGGATGGCAACATACATAGCTGGTGTGTTGAATGTCTCAAACATGATCTAAATATTGAAACACAATAAGGAAGCCAATTAATTTTGTTGAAATTTGGCCATCGTCAACATAAATTGAAATGCAGTGACAAACCTGTGTCATTTTTTCACGATTAGCTTTTGGGTTGAGTGGAGCTTCGGTTAATAAAACTGGATGTTCCTCAGGGGCTACACGAAGTTCATTGTAGAAGGTGTGATGCCAAATCTATGATGAATATATGGGCGTTAACATACAACAAGGCAAAATTGTACAATTAAAATTTTTCTTGAAAACTTACTTTTTCCATATCATCCCAGTTAGTAACGATGCCGTGTTCGATGGGATATTTCAACGTAAGGATACCTCTTTTGCTTTGAGCTTCATCACCGACATACGAATCTTTTTGGCCCATACCAACCATTACACCTTGATGGCGAGGACGGCCGACAATCGATGGGAATACAGCTCGAGGAGCATCATCGCCGGCAAAACCAGCTTTGCACATACCAGATCCATTATCAACAACTAAAGCAGCAACGTCGTCATCCATGATAGCAAATTTCGAAAGCGAAGGGTAGGAAACTTTAAGTACAGTTCAACAAAACGTCTTGCAAGCAGCACAGGTAGTAGCAAACTGCCTCTCGAAGAATTTGAAACCATGTAATTTATGATCATTGACGTCACGTCCGGGTTTTCCTTTGCGTAAGCTTTCTGTTTTGTTGTCAGACTAGGAACGCAGAAAATTCGACGCATTTTGATTTTGCTTGTTCATTCGCATTTAGCTGCATTTTAAACAATACAAAATGCTAAATTATGCTTAAAATGCTTGTACTCTTTCATTCAATACCCAAATATTTGTTTTTTAAAGAAAGCCAAGGAAACAGTGGTGATATTTTGGTCATATTGCTGCATGGAACCTCCCAAAAAATCAATCTCCGACAAGGTTTCATCCTTATTAGGCAATTCCTGGGAAGACAAAATAAAATACTCAGACAGTGCAAAGTTACCATATATGGTAAAGAGATTGCTGATTGGTCAGCTCAAAACAACGTGTTCATCCGTGTGTTTTTAATGGCGTTTTAATTTCCGTTGTCTGTTATTTCAAACATAATATTAGAATCCATGTAGCAGCATATTCCTATGAATTTATACTTATTGCATAGTAAAGAAATTTTCAGCATTGAATATTATATTAAATAGATTGTTGTAGTAATTTTTAATGACTTTGTATAGAATACTTGGTATTTTTCCTTCGGTCAGATTAGGCGTCTCCTGAAATGCCTCACCAAGTATGTCAACATCGTCGAGAACGTAGAAAAGAATTAAAAGACAGGAATTAAACCAGCAATGATTGCTTACTAGATATCTTAGGAAGTCGCTTAGTTACATCAATGGTAGACTTGATTGAATTCCTCGAGAATTTCCTCCAATATGAATTACAGGTGCATATCGTTTGTTACTTATATGAACAAACATCTAATGTCACGATAAGGATTAATTTACAGAAACCAAGTCATCAAATTTATCATGTCTCAATACAGTTTACACTGTAGTTAACGGCTGATGTACTCTCGCGAAATACACCTCGGATACTACCGCTAAAGTTCTACAGTAGAAAATTTAGCACGTAAACGCAGTTACGGAGTCGACATTCTTTTAATCTTATTTAGTACTTATTTCTTGTTATCTTTCTACGAAAGCAGTTATCGTAGGCAAAATTTAGGTCAAGAGTAAAGTAAATGTAAACAATGTGAAAGCCTCTTGTACAAACCGGAAATGAAATTATATCCATAACAATATGAACATCACGATTTTGCAATAGTAACCCTTACGTTAAGAATAATCCATACCGAAATCGGAATTGATACAAATTGTCAATTTCAATTTCAAAACTGCTTTAAAGTTTTGACGTCCTGGCGCGGTTGTTCGTTTAAGCACTGACCACGAATAAGCTCCACAAAGTGAGCAACCCAACGTTGCTCATATTACGGAAATTGTGTTTGTTTTATTTTTCTCTTATGTATATTGCTCACATTACGAAGCTGTAAAAACCTTTCTATCTTTTACCAATAACAAAACAGCCAAAATGTTTTTACGCATTTCATAATCATGCAGTAGCTTTGTATTAATATATATGTACAGAAATACAAATATTTGATGCGACGAGTATTTGGAGTAAAGTTTGTTAAAAGAGAGGTATCTTTTTACATTGGAGAGCATGAAGAAATCAATGCAAAATGTAACAAAAAATCAATAGAAAAAGAATTAAAGATAATAAAGAAAAACTTTTACTTCTAGATGAAGGGGTTGAATCGGCTGATTACATGAGAGCCGTAGCCGGAATTCAGCCAAGAGTTAAATGATTTTGGCAAATGGAATCGTTTCAATACTTATCATCAGACAAATCTTCTCAAGCAAATTCCCAATATTCTGATTTAATAACTTCTTGCAACATTTAAAATTGAAACAATCAATGTGCCCTAATTTGAGAACTATAACAGGAGTGACGTATCGTTTTTCACCAATTATTGTGATTTTTAAATTTGAAGTTTTGGCTCCTTTCAATCTCTTGAAATCATCAATAGCTCCACTGATCTGATAATAGACTGGATATAGCTTCTACAGGTAAAGTGAAGCCTAATTATATATGCAAAATTCACTTCCAGTTACCACGGCGAGATACAAATTACTATAGAAATGTAGCGGATAACGTTTACAAACATGGATTTTCGAATATTTAAGACCTTTCGCGACTCCTTACTAACCTCAAGTAGTCATGGATAAAACAGGTTATGCGAATCGATTTGACATCAAAATGATTCCGATAGCTGTAAAATATCGACGTTAGTGGTGATTTAAAGTTGTACATGCGAGAATGTATTTTGTCCCATCGTTGCCAATGCAAGATAGTTCACTGCTCGCTTTCCAATTTCTGAGGCAGTTATGATCTAGTATACGTTTCAGTTCTTTAGAAATGAGGTGAGTTACTTTTTTTATCATTCTTTCTTTATGTTGAGAGATTGTTGGTTTTATTTTGCTGTAACTTCATTTTCATGAGCAAAGTACTACTGATGCTTAAACAAGACAAGTCTATTTTAGTTTCGCACTTTATCTTTAGTTTCCATTTCTGTGGTTGTTTTTCCCAAATGGTATAGTCACCTTGCTGTAGCATTTAGATATGGTCTTAATTAACGAGTAAATATGATTTTCGTGAACAGTAGTATCAACATGTGCATCGAGATCCTTGAATGTGGTCCTCAAATCTATACCATTTACTACAGACAAAGCAATAGCATCAGAATTCCTTTCCCTTGCGGTAAATTTCCATCTGTAGCTGCCAACATTCTCTGAAAGCACCTCTCTGTTTCATTGCATATTACTATTACACTTGCTGTTGGTTTAAACAAATCACCCTGTCTTTTAAAGTCAGGAAAGCAGACTCATTTTGTAGTTTCTTGAACCGACTGCTTCATGACAAACAGGACAGTTTATTTTCTTTGCACCATTTGGGCAACATAGCCAGCCAAGTAACGATATTGCCTTTTAAATTCAGATACAGTGGAAAAGCTTGGTGCATCACTATAATCTTCATCCTCATCTTTGTTGCATTTGTCCCTTGTAAATCATACTTTCCGATGAGAGCAGCATCATCAATTGTCGTACTTGATTCTTTGTTTGGCATTTTATAGGTGTCCCCAATTACTTCCAATATGTTAGTTTCATCTTGTCTGGTGCAGTTGCCATTGCAACCATGGATACTGCTCATCAAAGTCTCTTGTATGCAGCCCTAAATTGTTCAGCTGTTGGGTTGTTGTTAAAGCCTCCTGAGGACGAATTGCTCCAAAGAAAAGCTCTAAATGATCTTGGCTAAATTTATAAGTCAAAATACATTTCATTGGTGCATCTTCCTTTTCAACTCAACAAAATTTGCTTTGTGCTATCAATTGCCAGAAGAAACCCAACAAAGCCAGTTATGCAACGGTTGTGTACATTAGATCACCTGATGCATTTTTCAGACCAATAATGTATTCACGGAAATTTACCGCAGGGAAAGGAATTTCTGATGCTATTGCTTTGTCTGTAGTAAATGGTATAGATTTGAGGACCACATTCAAGGATCTGATGCACACATGTTGGATACTACTGTTCACGAAAATCATATTTACTCATTAATTAAGACCATATCTAAATGCTACAGCAAGGTGCGACTATACCATTTGGGAAAAACAACCACAGAAATGGAAACTAAAGATAAAGTGCGAAAGAAACTAAATAGACTTGTCTTGTTTAAGCATCAGTAGTACTTTGCTCATGAAAAATGAAGTTACAGCAAAAATAAAATGCCAACAATCTCAACATAAAGAAAGAATGATAAAAAGTAACTCACCTCATTTCTAAAGAACTGAAACGTATACTAGATCATAACTGCCTCAGAAATTGGAAAGCGAGCAGTGAACTATCTTGCATTGGCAACGATGGGAAAAATACATTCTCGCATGTACAACTTTTAAATCACCACTAACGTCGATATTTTACAGCTATCGGAATCATTTTGATGTCAAATCGATTCGCATAACCTGTTTTATCCATGACTAATACTTGAGGTTAGTAAGGAGTCGCGAAAGGTCTTAAATATTCGAAAATCCATGTTTGTAAACGTTATCCGCCATACATTTCTATAGTAATTTGTATCTCGCCGTGGTAACCGGAAGTGAATTTTGCATATATAATTAGGCTTCACTTTTGCTACCTGTAGAAGCTATATCCAGTCTATTATCAGATCAGTGGCTAGCTCCCTTCCGGGCCAGCTCGCCCCCATATAATCAGGTTAGCACTATTTTCACCCAGCAAACCGCCCTTTACTTTACACAATCGGAAATAATTTAAAGATGGCGGCTAATGGGAAAGAACCAAAAGCTAAAAGGAAACCATGCATGCACTTGTGCTAGGTCGTTTTGAGATGGCGAGTAATTTTATATTTTTATAATACAGTTTTTAATATCAACATATGAAAATATTTACAGATAAATCTTGCAGTATAAATTTTCATGCAACCACCTTAAGTTATAAACTTATAATCCAGGCTGGAAAATATGTCGTTTTTCGACGATTGTGTAAAATATTATATAAAATATTATATTGTGTAAAATATTAGATTGTGTAAAATATTACATTGTGTGAAATATTATATTTCAAAGTAAAGGGCGGTTTGCTGGGTGGAAAATAGTGCTAACCATATAATCAGGCCCTTACAATGAAAACAAATGAGTGAAGACACGGGAGAGCAGTGTAACCTTGAAATTTCACAAAACGAAATTATTACCAATACCATTCAATAATCGGTAAGCATAGTTAGGTAATATTGCAATCACTGCACACCTCGCAAAACTAATAATTTCTTTCATAAAGCAAAAATTTACGTTTTATTCACAATGACGTCATCAATATCAAAATAAAAAAAGTCAAATTCCAAAAATTTTCAGTACCATTCGATAGACCGGTATGAAATGAGTAAAAAAGTATGTTACACCGTTTACTTTCAGTCACTCGCTTATGAAGCAATCAACGAATGTTCTTAACCATGCTGCTGAATCAACATTTTAAAGTCTTTACTTATAACACAAGCAGACCTACCAACTCACCCGGTTTTAACGGTTTTATCGTCACCTACATCTTAAAAAACTCTTCATAACACCAGATTTTCCATAACTTTCACTCTTCTTTAATGACATATATTTAGTGAAATAGTTTTGAAAGAATCAGGTGGCACTAAGTATTTAATGGCAACAAATATTAAGTATTTTATATGTTATGCATTAAAATTTTCCATTTTCTTATTATGAACAAAAAATCCACTTGATTTTTTCTGTTTGCTGTTTTTGCACCATTCTTTTCTACCGAGTTCTCCTGTTCGTCAATGCGATGTTGAATACCATTCTCTATTAAAGACTCACATACATAGACTTGTTTCGTTCATAATTAGTTTACTAAACAATATTCACCAAATGCGGGTGAAAATTATTGAAAATCTAGTGCTCTGAAAGTTTCTTTAAAGACTTAGACGACAGCCGATAAAATCGTGCAAGTTAGCAGCTCTGCATGTGGTATAAGTTAAGACCTTAGAACGATGAGTCAGCATTTTGATAAAAATCATTCTTGATACTTCTTAAACGAGTGACGGAAAGTAAACGGTGTAATATAAGTTTTTACTCAATTCATACTAATCTTTCAATTGGTACTGAGAATTTTTGGAACTTGCAAATTTTTTTGATTTTGATAAGTATCGATGACGTCATCGTCAAAGTTAATTTCCTTCAAAAGAAATCAGTACGGCAAAAGTAGATATGGTGCAGCTATAAGAACATTTTTGACAAAGCTCTTATCCGTGCCGATTAGTTTCCAGACCTAAGAAGTAAACCGTGAGCGCCCCTTTCCATCATGAGACGGGTTTAGAAGGAGGTTCCTAGACATTCTAATGAGCCATATATTTGGCATGATAATGAGCCTAAATATTTGTCAAAACAATCAATTATTGTTCACTTCATTTTTTTTTTGAAAAAACGTAAGCAAAATGTGTTGTTTTTATGCAAAAACAATATCCACAAAATACATTTTGTATTGCTCTAAAATGCCCAAAATGGGATTTCCAAGGCTCTGAAATTCAAATTTCCCAGGGGAGAATGCCTCGGACCCTCCAGGTGCGGGGTGCCTCTGTCGTTTTATTAGTGATGTTTGAAAAGTCCTAGATCCGCCCTTGTTCCTAAAGTAAATTATTTCAGATTTACATTTTAACTAGTTTTGATTATGATTATTTCCTTTCTGCATTTGTATGTGTGGTGATTGTAATGACGCTATTGATGAAAATAATTGTTTTTTGTCAAATATTGGCCACTTTACGGTATACTTTCTCCTTTATCAATTGGCCTCATAGCAACGCTAAAATGAGCGAATTCCTGTTACTACTCAACGTAAAATGTGAATAACTTCACAGCTATTTCACTCCATTTATAATGCACAAAAATCACAGTTTCGTGTTCGATGTTAACAATTGTTTTCATTGTTAATATACCACTCCTACCAGAGGCTTTGCTGTTTTCTTGAGCGTAACTAATTTCTAGTGACCTTGTGTGCATTTGTTAATATGAAAAACCCATGATTTGCATAAAATACCCCAACGGTCAAAGATTATTGGAGGAATCAACAAAGTTATCGATTAACCAAGAAGGGTAGGAGCAAAACAAAGCATAGAAAAGCATTCCTTTAAGATCTATATTGTAATCTGCATGGTGAGTAATATACTAGCTTACATTTAAGATAAAGTTTTAGCATCAATGAGAGTGAAACGAGTCGCTGTAACTCATCAAGGGGTATAGGATTTGAGAATGTATTTAACATATTGTCGAATGTTGTGTCACTCTCGTTTTAATTATTGCCCGCGTCAAATATATTCACAGTGACGCACTGACACAGTTTATATTTAGTAATTTTGTTCAAACAATCTTTAGAATCTCAGAGCAATCTTTGTGAATAAACTGTGAGCGCTGGAAATGATGTGTGAATCAGTAGTCTGTTGGAATTGCAAAAATACAATTTTTACACGATTGGCAAAAATTAACAAATGATTGCACTTTTTGCAACAGAAATGACTTTATTTTCTTTTCGTTTTACAGTTGTAAGCTGCCACAATGAATTTAAAGATGTTCCTTGTGTGCTCTATTGTCAGTTTTGTAACCGCCAATACATCACGCCACCGACGATTTGGTAAGTTATGCGTTCTTTAGAAAGCTTCAATTTAATATTTTTCACTCGGACTACCAAAGATAAGCTTGGGGGAGGAGCCCCCCTTCTACCTTTGAAATGGGTATTTTAAAAAGGCACTATTGACAAAAACGTCGAGAGAGCCCTCCATCTGATAAATTTAGTTTTACAGCACTGCATTGAACTAATCAAAATCTTTCTTCGAACGTTTCACGCGTGAGTGTCACTAACGACAAGTGAAACGAACCATGAATGCTTTACATAATTGTGATTTTACATAATATAGGCTATAAAGAGATGACTTATATTAAAAATTGTTTTGAAAAGAACAAAATTCCATGGTGAATGGTGAAAACAGCGACGTACTAGTTCTTAAATGAACTGTTTAAAACCAGAACAGTAACCCAACACTTTTAAAAGAACTGTTTTTATAGCAAGACACTATACATTTTGGCAGACTACTCCTCACTGAATCAACGTCCCGCTAAAGGAGAACTTTGAAATCATGCGATATTTATGATGTTAGGAAAAAGTTAACGTCATCGCTAAATAGGTAACCTTTTGTCGGCAGAAAACGGATTTAGTCAATTTAATTAATACAGACTCCATGACCGCATGACGCGTAGTTGAAATAACGAGGGACATTTTTTAACTCTAAAATTTGGACAGAATATGATTTGGCACAGTGAGTGTTAATCAAAAGATGTTTCCCAACTGCTGAGTCACATGAAATTAAATTTTCATTCGTACAATCAAGTTTCGGTTCTTGTCGTAAAAGAACAGTTTTATTCCTGATAGAAGCTACTACATGTTGCTTTATTGTATCACCTAACTTTTGAGAAATTCTACCTGAATAGAGAGCATCACTTTCTCATTTGAACTTGTAGACTACATTTCTTGACATTAGCACAGGCAGACTTTCTTTTTCTGCTATCTAGTAGAATAATTTTTTTGAAAATATACCTAAAGACAACGTTGCAGGCAAAAAACAAGCTCTCAGAAACATTTTTAGTTTCCCTCTCGATGTCATTTGAGGTCTTGCTCATCCAGGGAAGTTTAAAAAATACAGGGCATTTGGTCGGAGTAAAAGGTTTATCGCGTTCATTGATAGTGGATATGAAAAGTTTGCTTAGCAATTTTTCCGGATATCCTTTTAAAACAAAAGTTTTCCTTAATAAGCTAAGATCACTTTCAATTAACTCCTTTGAGTACAACTTATGCGTTCGCTTTATCAAACAGATGCTTTTGCTTCATTATTTATCTTTCGCCAAAGCTTGGTAGACAAGAGATTATATTTTTTACGAACAATCCGCTGAATTAAGCTAGCTTTGAAGTTTAGCTCTCGAATATAATATATAAATAAGTGGCAATTTGGAGCCTTATTTGACCACGCTGGGTTGAATCTTTCATGAATCTGAATGGATTTTTGCTAAAATTTATATAGAGAGTAATATATCAGGATAATCTGTTCATATCATATCTGCTCTTTTTAAATCAGGAATGATAACCAAGCTGAATTCGATAAGTGATAACTTATTTAACTTTCTAGTTTTGTACATCTATCGTTGAAAAGGCCAGGAGTGAGTGTCATTCATGAAATGGGCATTTTCAAAATTTTGTTTGGCATTGACATAACTTGGCTGACTGGAAATCTGTAAAATGAGATAAATCTTGATTTGTCCACGTAGCAGATTTCTTTAACCCCTTTAAAATGACCAAGTATTTGATTATGCAAAACGAAATTGTTAAAGAAGACTTCCAAACGGCTGCTTTTCTCTTGAAAGGATGGCTATTAGCGTATGCGCAAAGAATACGTAATTGTAATGTTACCTCAGACATATAGTTGTTGGCTTACAACGTCGTGAATCCTATTACTACAACATCGATATCTTGCATATATAAGTCAGAACAAGTCAAATGCGTGTTGATTTATTGATTGAGTGAACGACATTTCACATACATCAAAAAACTGTTTTCAACAACAATTTTTAACGATAAAGAAAAAAATGGTATTTTGGGAAAGTGATAACAAATTAAACGTTAAAGTTTGTAAGAAACAGTAAAAAACATTATTTTCTTACCTTTGAACACAGTCACCGGCATGAAATCTAAGAGAAAATGTTCGCAAAATTAGTAGTACAGCTAGTCTAAAAGGTTACAAAGGCCCGTTTCAAAACGTTGCATTTTATGTGCGGCGAATGCATTTAAAACAATAGAATTCTTTGTTATCTTTTATTTTAAATGCATTCGGCACATGTAAAATGAGACGTACGAAACGGTCCAAAGAGTTATTTGACTGAAAATTGAGCACAAATCGCGAACGAATTTAGTGTAAATAATATCAATTTTATAATGTTATCTCAACAAAATTGAATAATTTATTTCATTTTGCTGACATATGCCACATACTTGAGAGACTAACCACAAATACCGATTTCTTACCTACTTTTAGGCGGCTATGGCCCTGTTGAACCAGCAGGCGCTAAGATTCAACAACTTATTAACCAGGTGCGGTTTTATTCTACATGTTTTATCTGATGGCAGTGCAATGTTTCAAGAGTATAGCCCGATATGTTATCAAGGATAATGCATGCAATTCTTGATACGTGTGTGCGTGTGTGCGAAACAAATATTGTCTAAGTCAAAAGTCTTTATGACATTTCTAGTAAAAACTTTCCTCTTCTAATGAGTGCATTGATTTATGTTGCAAGCTCACATTAAGTCGAATACGTATTCCGCTTTCAAAGATAGACTAGAAAGCTATAAAATGGAAAAGGAATGTGCGCAATATTCTGTCTTAGGTTCGCTCTGACGCTGAAAATAAAGCGGGTGAAGAGTTTTCTGTATACGTGGCAGAAAAGTACAGAAAACAAATTGTATCAGGCACTAATTACTTAATCAAGGTACTTCAATATAAAAAATTGCTAAATATATAATATTGGCTATGGAAAATTGAATAAAAATTGCACATGATAAAAGAGTGCTCAATATCTTCATGGATAGTACAAAATAGAAATTTATAAAAGTAAAAAAAATGATATCACAAACTTATTCTTTACAGAGTGTTTCACATCTTACAGCGATCATCAGGTGAATGAAAACAATATGATGATCGCCGTAAGGCGTGAAACATTGTGTAATGAATGGTTTCATGATATTGTTTATTTTACTTCTATGAACTTGAAATATTGGTAATGTCTTGCGCAATGATACGCATTAATTAAATGTAAATATTTATCAAGGTGTATGTTGGTGGTGGAAAATATGCTCATATTTTGGTGTTCAAACCACTGCCGTACACTAAGAAACCACCCGTACTCAATGGCATACAACTCAATAAGAAGAACAATGATCCACTTGAAACCTTTTAAATTCTTCTTACTTTCTTACTTTTTAAAAAGTCTTTCTTAATTTTTAGTTATAAGCTAAATTGCAATGATATGGTAATTGTTGTAATGATTAAATAAAAAATGCATTACATTAAAAGTTGAATTCGTTTGCTGTTTAAATCATTTTCAAAGTCAGCTGAGTTAGAGAAGATACAAGCTACAAATACAGTTCTTCACATATGAGACAACTCTATGCAATTTACAAATGGAATGTTTCTTTTAAAGCAAAAAGGCAGTAGCAGTAAGTGGCTTAAAAGTAAGTAAAAATAATTTCAAAACACTTAATCACTCATGACAAAAATTGCCTGAACTCTTTAAAAAAGTTTTTTGTTTAATAACGCTGGCCTATAGAATCATTACCTACAGAATTGCAAGAGAGTGCAATCCACGTTTCTCTTTTAAAAGAAAAATTGGTATAGTCGTTAGCTGTAAAACTTGGAATGGTGTTGGCAGTTCATAAGTTTTAGTTGTGCAATATAAAATTTTTTACAGTAAGATGAACACAAAAAATGACATAGCATTGCCAAGTTTGAGAACTAGATACGTCATTATTCTCGTATATATTGTTTTTAATTATCTCACATTTTAACATTTTGTCCATCTTCATAGTTTTACATTAGCAAAAATCCATTATTTTATATTGTATTTATGTTTGCAAATATTGTTACTAGTCGTGCTTGTTTTAGATATTATTATCAATATTACAATAATATTATGTAATATGAATTTGTCAATATGCGGAGAATATCTTTGATCCTCTCCACGAATTATTGTTTAATACCTTTTTTTTGTTCCACAAAATTTGCTATGTTGTTACTTATGATAGTAGCAATTGTTTGGGAAAATATCAGCTGGAAAAGCCTTCAACTTACTTTTTATACACCGATCCTTTGCATAAAGGCGTATTTCTGCGATAAGCCACAGCCTTTATAACCACTCATTAGGTAGTCATCTTTCTTCATTTAAAATGAATCAATTTCAGTCCTCGTGCAAAGTATATCTTTCGATTGATTAAAAGATGTCTTTTTGCTCTCTTGCTCAAGCAGGAGCTTAGAAAGCGCCAATTCATGCTTTGTGATTTGAATGCGTAGCTCTGTCACTTTTGTTTCTCCACAATGAAATTTTGCCTTACCATAATAAACACAGAAGTACATTTTTAGGTCATATGTGTGTGAAGTACGCTTTAGGCGAAGATTACTGGCTATAAAGAGGTTGATTTCCATTTTATCTGATACAGCTCGAGTAATTTGCTTCTCAATATCACTCAATTTGTCTCAAACAATACCAATTCAACTAGGATCAATGTGTTCAAATGGTTTGCTCTGGATATAATGGGTTCCGGTTCCGATCATTTTACGAAAATGTTAACTTCTTTTAAATGTTTTGTAAATTTCATGCAGGCCATGCAGGTGCATATTACTATACAGGCAAGAAATCAGCATCTCCAAGATCAGCATCTTTGGCATTAGGAAAAACAGAACACATTGCCTCCCCCCCATCCTTCCCCACCAAACCCAAATAAAATCATGCAGGCACTATCACTACAGGCCTACATTGACAATAAAAAGATAAAATGTCATAAACAGAAGCATGCTTTTGTTAACACTATTATTCATAATGATTACCTAGTGAACTTATTCTATCTAGGAAAAACCTTAAAATAACAAACTTAACTACTCGATACGGGAAACTGAGATTATCCGCAAACGTAATTTCTGCAACCTCCTAGCGGAAGGTGTTGCAATTTTTGCTGACAAATGAGGCGAGGCAACACTCCCCTATTCGATAGTAACATCTAGTTATTGACATCATGTTATTTTAACAGTTGGAAACAAGTGATCTCACTCAGTCAGGTGACCTCGGTCTACTCAAGTCAAGAAATATCAAATGCAAAATTCGATTCTACAAAGTAGCGACAAGAAGTATCAAATAATAAATTAGAGACTTTGTCGTGGTGAAAAATCTGAAATGAGTTCTAAAGATCGCAAATACCATAGTGAATGGTAAAAGTGATATAATAAGTTGATAGTTCTTAAAAGAACTGTTTTAAGTAAAGAGCATTAACCCAACAGCTCTAAATTAAACGACACGATGCATTTAGGCAAACTACTCCTCAGGTGTCAACGTCTGCTAAACGAAAATTTACAATCAACCGATATTTATAATGCCAAGAAAGAGTGTACGTCATCTCCAAAAGGGGAGATGACGCTCAAAACAGAGATAAATTAAAAACATAAATTAAAAAGATAACATTGCTCGCGAAAAACAAATTCTCCGTAATATTCTTAGTTTCCCTTTCAATATCATTAGAAGCCTTACCCATCCATGGAAGTTTGATAAACACAGGACACTTAGCTGGTCCAAAAGGCCTATTCTGCACATTTTTGTGGATTACAAAGTTTATCAAGCATTTTTCCTGAAATCCATTTGAGAGAAGTATATTTTTCAATGAGTTGAGATCACCCTCAATAAACTCCTCTGATAACAGTCTAAGCGTTCGCTTTATTAAACACTTTACTAAAGAAATCTTTTCTGTGTGAAGAAAGAGTCGAAGCGTATGTACAGACCCGTAAAAGTTGTCTTGCGATGAATGCTTGTAATGAATTGACCATTGCGTTTATGGACAAGAACATCCAAAAACGCTAACTGACAATTTGATTCGTGTTCAGACGTAAAACTTAAAGAAGGGTGAAGAGAACAGAGCTTATGTAAAAATAATTGGTGATTTTTGTCGTATCGAAAAAGGGAAAAGGTGTCGTCAACGTAACGTTTGTACCACAGCACTTCTGGATGCCCAGAAGAGGCAAACATCTTACACTCGTAATAGCCTACAAAAATATTAACAAGTACTGGTCCAAGAAGAGAACCCATAGCCATCTCAACAATTTGTTTGTACATGATATCATTAAAACCAAACTCAACTCCTCTAGTGGCCACCAACATTAATTCTCTATAAGCCTCTTCAGACATGGGTGGGGCAGCCATATCCGAATGAAAAAGATTATCAACACAGATTTCGATGATTTCTTCTAAGGGCAGATTTGTTAAAAGACTGGTTACATCAAAAGAGCTCATTGTCAGATTATGATGAGCGGAAACATTTAGTTGTTTGTGTTGATTAGTAAAAGTAAATGAATCTTTTAAAGCGTGAATTGAGAACTTCTATAAAACAGGTGAAAGTACAACTGACAGTTGTTTAGCTAACTCATGATGAGCTGAGTTAATCATGGCAAGAATTGGTCGGAATGGAGCGCCCTCTTTGTGAATTTTGGGCAATCCATACATGCGTGGTCTCTCTGCACTGGTTGGGCGAACTAAAGTATAAAAATTCTCACTAATTTGATTTGACTTTCTTAATTCTAAGAGAAATGTTTGTAATCTCCTTTCTATTGAAGAGGTTTTGTCGCAATCTGGCAATTTACGAAGCTTGCAAAACTTTTTCTCGTCGTTTAAAATGTCTAGCATTTTGCTATTATAGTCCTTCCTATCTAAAATCACTACACCAGAGCCTTTGTCTGGTTTCCAAATTACAATATCCTTATTCTTCTTCAAATTAGAAAGCACGATCATATTTTCTATTGTTAGAGAAAATTTTCACGTAACATGTTACGCGTTCTTGGTTCTTTCATCTCATGACCGAACAGCAGAATATAGGCTACCGCTACAAATGAATTCATGAGCGAGTAATCGTGCGAGTAAGTGTTGGAAGACAAACTCGTGACTTAAGACCAAACTATCTTTGTTTGTTCATTGCGAGACGCAAGACTTTTAAAATACAGACAATTTTGCGTATGAAGAAATCGCAAAGGACTTAGAGCTGACAAGTACAAAATGTTTTGAATAAAATTATTTGTTGATCGTTGGAAACATACTCAATTCTCATAGCATCTTGACTTTACTGAAAATATGTAATTAAATGCGTATAAGCATTGGTACACATCGTTTGTAGCATATATTTTGCTGTTTGGTCATGAGGTAAAATTTGATCGCTATTAAAGCTCTTTTATTGGTTATATGGTATGACAACATTCACAGCGTACATAACGCAAGTGACGAGTTTTTGCCTCTCGTGGCCAAAAATGGGTGTAGATGAAAAACGGGTACTGATGGCGGATGCATATAAATATGGCGGACACAGATGGCAGACGGAAACAGAAAAGGCGCAAAATAAAATGCCTTTAGTTCGTTATTAGAATATTCTTGTACTCCATTGAAAAAATAAAATTGAAAAAATAAAATAAAAACGAAACTAAATGCGAGTATCATTAACATTTTCATAAATGAAATTCTTTTTCAAGATGTTTGTAAGAAACCTAGGTACAAGCAACAGTGGAAGATACGTGCAGCTCTGTTTTTAATGATTGTAAAACGATATTTACAACTAAATTTTGCGCATTTTCCTTTTCCTTCTGCCAATCGTGTCCGTCACGCACGCCTGGCGGAAAAAATTCGCAAGTGGAAATCCAGCCTGAGCATGTCAAGAATACGTGTGCTGCCACGCTGGTGCGTAGCAGCAGTTACATAATTTTCGTGACTGGGAATAATTTGCCACATATCGAAAGCACACATTTAACAAACAGCCAAGAACGTCAAGTCTAAAAACTTGATGAAAATTGAAGTCTTTGGCAATAAAAGGTTTGTAAATAAACGACAAAAAATATCATGTGTGCCTACGATGTATAAATGTGAACAATAAAGCAAATTTTAGGCCTGCTATATAGTAATTAATATATGGAAAATTCGGAAGATTCAATAAATGTCTCAACTAACTGCCATAAAAATATATTTTCTTTATTACCATTAAAACATTGTAAACCTGTAGTTTCGGTCAAACAAATTTGCAAGAACGTTATTTCTTGTCATAAAGAAATCCTTGTTGTCGTTAGCACAAAGTAAGTTGCTTGAACTATTCAACGTCCGGTCCAGACGAGTTATTTGTGAAATACTTATTATTTTTTACTTAGCATTTACCCTAAAGAAGCAAATTTCCTTTGCTTCTTGAAAAGTCTTAATGTCAACTCTTTGTAGCGACTTTGCAACCCTGTGCTCTATTGATATGGGTGAATTTTATAATCGAATTGTTAATTTTTAAAGTCGTTTTGTAAGTAAAATGTTCATCATCAAATCGATTCATCTGTGCTTTAAATAAGCATTGTTTATTAAAATCACACCACAAGATATCCTACAGCTGAAGTATTTTATTAGTTTTAGTCTTTTGTTAGTAATACTGCGATTGTGATCTTTCGTTTCTGTTATAAATCTTATATATATGACGAAAATTGCCGATTATTGTTGTTGTGGCGTATATATGTGCTTGAATATTTAATCACTGGGGGCATTCGAACAGACTCCTAAAGTAGTTTGTTACCATTGTTTCTCGTACTGGAGTTCTACAATTTTATTTTTTTCACTCTTAAATATTGCTGATCCTCTCCTTTTCCTTGTCGCGCTTATGCTGCAAAAACGTAAAGTACTACAAACCAAATGCTTCTTTTGAATTCCATGTTATTTTTGTAATGCGTGACACACGTACGTGGGCGACACTTGATCGCAATAAAATGATCATATGAATTTACATTCGCTGGCATACTCACAAACATTTTTTGTATGCGTCGTAAAGCTTCTGACCGCTTTAGTAAAGAATAATGACATATCTTGTCTTCTCTCCTTATGTATATAATACAGGTGACTCTTCAAGAAATGCTTGCAAGATTTAGCTGCACCGCCTGCACGTTGTACAAAGCCCTACGCGAGGTCACGCGAATGTAAACATTGAGTCAATTTCAAGAGACCTAATTCAGCGTTTTAGTTAATTACACAACAAATTGAAAAGTTGAGTGCAAAAATAAAAAATTTCGAACTGCAGTTGCTCCCGTAACAATAGTAAATAGTTTATGGCAAAAATATGTTTATTCCTATGAATGGAAACTCATGTATTCATTCATAGTTTTGTTGAATGTTGCGTAGGTATATGTATCAAGCATTATGAACGATTTTACAAACTTACTATAAATCATAAAATCATTTTTTAGTATGCCTTTCTGGCTTTCTCGATGTTATTGCGCACGAACTAACAATTTTATTTTAATAATGATTTAAATTGTTGTTGTGATAAAAAGCCAAATACTTTTCTATTGAAGTTTTTATTAATTAGATTTTGATTTTCTTATTGAAATCCTTTTTTGTAGATGGAATCAAGAGAAACCCTTAACGTATTATATCTTAAAAAAATTATTATTGCTGTTCAAAAGGAACTTGCGCAATTTTTCATTAAAAAATGGAACTTTCATTATAAGGATACACATGGAGAATGGAAAAACAATGACATTAGTGGCAAGCAACTTTGCATTTTAGAAGCAAAAAAAAGACTAGACAAAGATACCCAAGAAAAATATGAGAATGGAGACACCAGTAAGTGGGATTGCAAAATATTATTCACTGCAATACTTTATTCAAACTCAATTGGAAAGCATCTTGACAAACATACAAAGGACGCTATTCATGGGCTACGAGGTCAAAGAAACAAAGATGCACATTGGTATGAAAGCAAATATCCAGATATTGATTTCGATGAAACAGTTAGTATTGTCGAAAAATCCTTTAGAGAATTGGAATTTTCTCTTGACGAAATCAGTGAAATAAAAAACAATCGAAACAGTTTTAATTCATTTAAAAGTCTTCCTTCTAAGCCCGATCATTTCATCGTTGAACGTAGTCAATTACGAGATGAAATCATCAAAGACCTTAAACAATTGAGGATTGATAGCAAAAATGAACTTACATATTTCTACATTTCTGGTAAACCTGGCAGTGGTAAAACTCAACTTGCCAGACAAGTTTTTGAAAAAATATCGTGTGATTGGAAAGATGAAATTTCGTTCGTAATGACTCTTGATGGAAGCGATGTTGATTCTCTTTTAAAAACCTACTGTGAACTTGGAAACCTTTCACACTGTAGCAAGTCTGATGTTAAAAGATGTTTGGAGGAGAGTGCCACTACAATCGAGAAAGTTGAAAACTTGAGGTCGTTATTATCAACTAGATTAAAATTTTGGCAAAATTGGTGGATAATTGTTGACAATGTGGTACATCCAAAAAAAATTTGTCCATTGCTACCTCAAATAAAAAAGCCCGAATGGTTAAACGGACAAATAATATTTATTTTCCAGAATACAGGTGACGTACCTCAATATGATGGGTTTACTAAACATATTTCTATATGTAGTGGAATGAATGATGGAGAATGCTCTCAGCTGTTGAAACATTACACTAAAGATGAAAATGCTGATGATCAGTTGTTAAGCAAAGTATCACAGGAATTGGATCGTCAACCGCTGGCTTTGGCTGCTGCAGGTTGTTACGTCAGTCGCGTGAACAGAACGAATTGTTCATTCACTTGGATGCAGTATTTAGAGAAAATACTAATAGGAGAACACAAAAAAATTGAGAATGCTTTTGTTGGACGTTGGAACTCAGCATATCATAAATAATATATTATTGTGTGCATTTAGGTGTATCAGAAAAATGCCGATAAACCTTAAAATCGAGTAAAGCTAAAATATATTCATATTCTGCCAAATAAAGGATATTGTTGGTTTTATGTAAAAAATTGATCTCAATTTATTTCTAGACAATGTAGCTATTAGTTTCTGTTTATAAATTTCCACAATAATTTTACATTTAGTAAATAATGACATTTGTTTACATTCCTCACAAACTTAGTAATACAAATAAAAGGATTGAGCGAAAGTTGACGAAATTTTTGTGAGGTCTGGTTGTGTGCAACCTGTGATTGCGTTATAAAACATTGACTAATCAGGTGTAATTGATGATATTTTACTCATCATTCGATATGATGCTACTGATTGCGCAAAATGGATATCTTAAAAACTTCAATGTTTTGTGAATTATAAGCGATGCTTCTTAGAAAGTCTCTGATCTGATTGGTAAATAATTAGTTTGAAAATTAAATTGTTTCTTCATGAACACATTCACAACTGGTATGAAAATATAAATTTAGATTAATATAAGTTTGTGATGTTGCCCAACTATTTTTACAAACTCTGTTGTGTTAGCTTTTTGGTCCGCTGTCCATAAAATTGTCATTAATTAAAGACGTATGTATGCAAATCAAGTCAAGTCATAAGGGTGCTTATTAACCTAATTTATCTGTTGACTGTGCGACAACTCATATAAGCTACAACAATGTTTTGATGACAATATGGTATTTAAAGTTAGGAAATTTGTTTCAGGAAAAAATAAATTGAATTTGTTGTTAACATTAATGGGAACTATTGAGAATTTCACTCTGAAAGCATAGAACTTCAAATCAAGCAAGGGTGATCAGCAAATTGAGAAAGGGTTTGACCGTTACTGGCAAACTTCTTTGACTGAAATGAGAGCACAAAGCTTCATTTCAAATCCAGAAAAATTTGGTTTAAAATATTAAATATAAAGTAATATTGCATTAGTGAAAAATTTTGTGCGCTGTATGATAAAAATGGAAAGTACGACAAAGTTACTGAATTAAAAAAAAGTTCTTGATATTCAAAAAAATCTTTAGTTTGAGATTTTCTTAACTTAATTTTTGGCAGGTCTCGAAATATTAGAAAATCATCAAAATAGTGCAAGTTGGTTTCTGAGTTGACAATTTCTCCAGTATTGGAAATGCTGAATTTCTTATGCTAGACTTGTCGAGTTTTAGCAAAAGCAAACATGCCGGTGTGTTTTTTAGTAAAAGACTGTAACATAGAGTTTATAAAGCACTTTCACATGCAAAACACGAAAAGGGTTTTTACCAAAGCTGAGACTTCAAATTTAGATGAGAAAATGACGTAAAAATAGTGATGTCATGAAAAAAATACAGACAAAGAGATATTTCCCATAAAGATTTGCACCAAATTTTGATCACTGCACAATGAAAATTATAGTTCATGTCACAAGGTTTTAACAATAAATGTGTGTTTTTCTTTCATTGTATCAATGACGTCATAATGACGTAACACATCCCTAAATTATTGCCCATTTCAAAAATTTGATGGGAATTAAGTATTTAAAATTTTGATTGTAAAATCGACACCATTTTTATAAGAATTTGCTTAGTTTGTTTGTGCTGCACCCTAAAGCATTTGAAAATAATATATTTTTGTCAATATTTTTGCATTTAAATAAACATTTTCTTCAATGTGAAAACATATGAGGCCCCAGATTGTAATTTATTCTAAACTTATTATACAACATGACATACTCAAATCATACGTGCGAAACTTTATATACTTCGAGATAAATATTAAAAATATGTCCAAAATTTGCTGTAAGACATTCTAAACTTTTTTAATACATTCGAAACTTCTCGCATCGTATCGTCAAAATTTATAGCCTATTTTAAAGTCTTATAAAGGGCTCCAATCCTTTTTATAACATGACTACCACCCACCCCCAAAGCGCCTCTGCCAGCACAAATGTCAAGCAATGTATTGTATATTTTAAAATGTGAGTGCGATGCTCGCTTATAAGAAGAACTTCTCAAAGGTTGAGTGATAAAATAAAGTAACATGTACCAGCTTCTATTAGAAATAAAACTGTTCCTTTAAGACAACAACCAAAAAGCGACTGTAAGAGTGAAAAATTGATTTTATGTGATTCAGCGATTGGAAAACATCATTTGAGCGACACTCGATGTACCAAATCATACTCTGATCATAACTTTGGAGTTATTAAAAAATATCGCTCATTATTTTAGCTACACGCCATGGAGTTTGTATCAGAGCCCCTCTATTACGAGAGTTGGGGTACTAGAACTAAAATTACTTAGCGTCTGACATTTTTGTTCCAAAAGCCAGCAAATATAAAGCATCAAATAGTGGAAAGACAAATTTTCTGTTGAGTTTACTTATTTATAAATAGATAATGAACCCTACTTTTAGAATTCAGTTGTTTATAGGTGTCATAATAATGGAAAAGCATTTATTTAATGCAGTGGATGTAATTTATACGCCGTTAATACTGTTTTTGCCACAAGGGAGTGCGTATCTTTCTATTCTTCATCGCTTTGATTGAAACTATTGTAACGCATCATAAAATCATTGCAAACATTTTTTTATAATTTATTTCGTCCGTGAAGAATGGTTATAATTTGCACTTTTGGAAGAAAAATGGCGGCTGGTTGCCCATGTGACAATATCTACCCAATAACCTTGATCACAATGAAAAAAGCATAGAAGAATACGTGTACAAACTCTTACAAATACATGGCTCTGGTCTGCATTACTTAAGTTGACTAATCCCGTCCTCTGCCTACAGAAAGATTACGTGTTTCATTTATTTTTGTTTTAGACATCATCTCTCAATTTAGAGATGACGTTGACTTTTGGTGGTGTTATAAATATCGCATGCTTAATGGGTTCTCAGCGAAAATGGCGGCTAGTGTTATTATTTGTTATCCATTGAGCTTTGACCAACCAACAACTTTAAAATAAGTAATTTTATTAACTTTTGATTTAAAATGGCGTCGTCTCCCAAGCGCGGAAGTCCAAAACGGAATGTTAAACAACACCCGACTCGTAAATATGATAAAACGAAAAGACAATGGCAAATCGGATTCGGAGGTTGAAATTTTTGACGTGTTTTGAATTTTACAAACTCGATAATTTTTTAATTAATGTTTTTTGCTAAATTTTTCAGCTAAATTAGACGTCGTAGTGACGAACTTGAATTTAGTGTGCCGCAGGCTCAAAAACTAACCATCTAAACACAAACAAAAGCGCGCAATTCATCGTGGTTGACACATTCTTTAATCGAGAACTGAAAAATCACATAATTCTTATAATCACTCTGAAAACAATTTTGAACTGTATTTTCAGCAAAAAATATGACAGCAAACCTCTTTAAGCTTTTTATTCAGGGACCTTGCGTATTCACAATGTGTATGTAATGTTTGCTGCAAACTTAGGCATTTTACGTTCAACGAGGTAGAATGCAAAAATCCTCTTCCTGTCGATGGAATTCTTTACATGGGGAATGGATTGGCACAAGATATCCATCGACATTTTCATATTGAAGGATATTGTAATAAAATCCATAAAGTAAAAGTGCAAGTTGGTTTCTGGATCGGTATTTGCGCCGGTTATAGTAACGCAGATTTAAAGAGTGGATTTAAGTCAGTTTTACGTATTGTAATAAAAGAGGTTTCTCCTCCACAAGATTAAATCTTTTTACTTCACGTCTGTTGAAAGCAATGTTTAAATAATTAACAATTCATTTACTTACTCTCTTTTACATAAAATATAGTTTTGTTTAATGCTGTATTACTTGGTTATATTGTTTGCCTAATATATTTCAATTATGAGAATTTTTATCTTATTTAGGATTTTATACAGTTGTTTTATAACATTATTAACATTCACTCGTATTTTGGTGCAGCTTTTCAGGCTGGTTGTCTATAGTTGTTTGAATTAATGTTGTCCTGGGGGAAACAGATTATCCAGTTTTGATTGCCAAATTTTTAATACTCATTTCTTTTGCAAAGGACATCACATGGTGTTAAGCAAGCCACAAGATTTTACTAGATGTAACTACAAATATAGAAATTTAACAATGAAAAAGGAAAACTCATTTCTTACAAAAAGCCGTTGAACCAGTGATTTTTGACTCTCGAAAAAAAAAAGATTTCGAAAATTGACACTTTGAGTTTATCTGCCTTTCTAGTATCTGATAATTATTGCTAAAATATCAACAGAGCCAGCTACACAGGCAGTCAAAAATAGGTCTTATGAAAAAAAGAGTAACATTGGTCAGTGGCGAAGCCAGCCAACAAGTTTGGTCGTGATATGTAAATTTTTTTGTGTTCACTCACTGTGAAAACAATATATTTATAAAGAAATGAATAATTCTCTGCTATACCGGTCACAAGCCCGGGACTTGTAGCATATAACACTCTCTGCTTTTGAGTAGACTTGTCTGGTTTACAAGGAAGAGGAGTGGAAGGTTAATTTCTCAAATGTTGTTAGATAAGGTCGTTATTGTTTGTAGTTGTTGGTTATAGCGCTGTGCTATCATTCTTTTTGTTAAATGAATAATTATAATTATCTGAAATTTACATAGCACTTCCAAACTTTCGGGCTGACTACGCCACTGATATAATTTTTTTCGTGTATATTATTAGTATAGATAATAGCATGGCTTCAAATGCAATTTGGGAAAAAATTGCACAAGTCACTTTTTAAAAGACTGTATGTCAATACTGAATCAGCTCCGAAGGACAAGTTGAAATGCTTTACTTTGATTTGCTCCTGTATTAATGTTTTGTTAGAATAACCAATCAGGATCAATATTAAATAGAAATTTGTACTGAGATTTCGTTTTTCTGCACTGGTGTTTCGTATTTTTGCACTCGTATTTCAGAAAAATTGCACTAGTCTTAAACATTTAGAATTGAGAATTTTATGTAAATTATTATGAACGTAAAAGTTTAAAAGATGTTATACTAGAGTTATGAGGCTCATTCCCTTTAAACTGTGTTGTAAACATTGAACAACGAATGAAAGGATTTTTTATGTTATCTTGTTAAGAATTTCGATTATGGAATTCAATAAATAATAGTCACTAAATGTACGGAGAAGGTTCCCCCTAAACATTTTTCATCTCAGATAAACATTTGGCAAGTAAAATAAATTGTTTTACATTGATACAAGTGTATTTCCAAATGAAAAAGCGATGTTTAAACTGACGTTTTTCAAAACACAACTCGTATTTATGATGCATTGGAGTGCTTTAAAGTTATTAATGTACAAAAAAACCCGAAGAAAAGGAAATGCAAACAATTCAAATCGTGCAAATTATGACTTCAGTTTTATTAATTCCAAAATATCATACAAATTATTTGATCAAGTTTTACACGCTTAAAGCTGTTTTTTCAAACCCAGGAATTGATGGAAAATCTGCGATATATTTATTATTCCGGGCCAAATATTCTTGACCTTCATAATTTTCTGTAAATAAAATACCCATGTCGTTGTGGCATTCTGAACTGCGGCTGACATATCAGGGGATTTCAGCAAAGGTGAAAAACTTTGGACCATATAAGAAATCATGCAAATAGTTCCATTTAAATATCAATACTAAATTATATTTGAAAACAAATAAATTTTAACCATTATAGTATAACAGAGAATTATATGTTGTAGTTAACATTGTACTTTTCAATTTGTTCAGGTGTTAAGAAAAGAACTATTCCTAGAAGATAATTTCAACTCAACCTAAGTTAAAGAAACCTCGAGTAGCATTGTCATTTAAAGTAATGTATCTATAATCATTTTACCAATAACTATAAATATAGTTAGTATAATTGAATCAATTCTCCTCCGAATGTTTACACACTATCTGAACAAAGTAAATGTACTCATGTTGGTTGCAAAAGAAAGATGTGTGATGAACAACAACCGTAAAATTAAAAAAGTTTGATCTTATGCTCGAAAATTGATTACAAGTAAGTTTAGTATTTTATTGTAAAAGAATTTTTCTTTTTATTTGGGGGTAGGCTTATAGTTGAGAGGAGGATAGGTTTATATATTCAGAAATTTGTACTTTATAATTCAATGCCAGTATGCCACAACCGATTTGAATGAAAGCATGTATACTTTCATCGTGCTGATATTAATATTAGCCCACTCTCCGGATAATAGACCGTCAGTGGCTCCTGGGTACATTGGCAAAACATTACAGGTTAAACAAAACTTACAAAACACAATACCTTTCACTAACGTAGGTATAACTATTCAAACGTGAAAAGAAATCTTTTGTATTATTACATTGTCTTGTTGAATTATATGTCAGTGTGTTAATAAAGGTAATCACAATTCGTAATAATTACACTAAGTGAAAAGATAGTAAAATAGAAATTAAATTCACACGAAAATTTGTCAGTTGTTACTGGTGACTTTAAATCATGAATATGCAGGCGCACATAATAACAGAACAAGCTCTCTAATATGTATTAAACAAAACTCAATATATGAATTTTTCTTGGAGTAACAATTAATATAAACTTGGCTTAGTTAATGATCACATGACTAAAAATTTAAATAAATATCCATAAGATCTTCGGGAGTATTTACAAAGACGAGACACCTTATAGATAGAAATTCATTGAAACTTGATTTCTACAGTTAAGTTAACTCATATCTCATTTATTGCAACATGGCATAAAGTAAGACCTTTAAAATCTAACTTAAAATATAACTCTTAGAACTAAAAGAAAATGAACATTTAATTACTTTCAAATCTTACATAGGTCATACAAAAGTTATTCTCAATAAATTATGTATTTTAGACATTTTCTAAAGAAATGACTATTAAACACACTTTATCGTTGTATCGATGTCATTATTTCAAATTTAGTTGAAATATTTGAAAATTATTTTGAAATAAAAAATAAATTTCATACCAATAATGAAAGTAATGCAACACAGTTGCAAAAAACATGCAAAATTAGCAATTATGCCAGATGGATTATAAGAAGATTCATTAACAGAAAAATGAAGAGCTCGGGTTGATCACGATATTCGTCAGGATAGAAAGCACCAATCTCTTTCGTCCAGCAGTTGTTTGTTCTTTTTCAGTGTTAACTCCAACTCATCTTTCTTTCGTTTATTCTCCTCCTTATTAACAATAGAAATTGGAATATTTTCTTTGGCGACAATTTCGAAGACACCATTAGATACTCTCGTGGCGTAACTAGAACGTTAATTGGGGTGTGTATATTCATATATTCGGTTGTGCCAAAGAAATCAGTTACATTTACATAACGGAATGTGTAAATGAGCACTCCCCCAACTAACGTTCTAGTTACGCCTCTGGATACTCTAATGAAGATTAAATAACATTGGTGGCAGCGCGGGCAACAATGAATTATAATACAGAACAAACGCAAACAAAAAAAAATCAAAATTGAAAACAAAGGATTGTGTCATTTTTAAAGCCTAGCATCATGTATTTTTGTTCACAGAGACATTTATCGTCGAACTCTGTTATAATATACATCAATCACACAAATGCAATTCATATTTTTCGTCTTGATTGAAAATCCGTGTTGAGGGTGAATTTAAAGACGCTGATTTTCAATGATTTTTGAATCAGCTTTTTACATTGGGAAAACTTTAATTACGTAAACAAGTGTAATTGTCGCAAAATTATAATGACAGCATGTGTAAAATTTGAAAACATGTATTTTCTCGTGTGAAACAAAATATTTTACACAAAAAAGTGTTTATTAAAAACATTGAATAATAGGGTTTAAAAAATTTGAGAAGCGCCAAATTACCTCAAGTTGTTGGTTTGAAGACAAAATACGATTGTAATCCTGTCTCAATTTTTTTTCTTCTTCTCTAACTTGTTCAAGATCTTTACGAGCGCCATGTAATTCTGGAACACAAATACTACATGTCAGATGCTACAAAACTAACATTAGAATAACATAACAATATATACCAACAGTAAAAGAATAATCAATCACATTTACAGTAATACGTACCATTTTCGTTCTTTGACAGCTGTTGGATGTTCTTTTTTGCTGCTACTTCCAGTTCATCTTTTTTTCGTCTATTCTCCTCCTATTAGCAATATAAATCAGAAAATTTTATTCAGTGCCATTTTTTAGGATATCGCCTTTGGCCATGCATGTATTTAATAACAACTCGTTATGGCTGTACTAATGAACATACTTTAAGATCTTCAAGAAGGAAACATATAATGATAATTTTTCTTATTCAAAATTTTTCAAAAGCCTCCAAATTTCGTATAATTTACGTCCAGTGAGATTCTATAAACTGTTTGATTTCTTCTGCAATTTTTTTCTTAACTGATTAATTCACTATCTTATTTCAATGGATTAGAAACTCTAATTAAGATTAAATGACACTAGTGGCAGCGCGGACAACGATAAATTATAAGTACGGAACAAACGACAGAAAAGAAATCGAAACATTAAAAAAAAGGATTATTAAATTTCTGGAAGCTTAACATCATGTATTTTTGCTCACAGAGAGATTTATCGTCAAACTTTGTCATAATATGCATCCATCACACAAATGCATTTCATTATTTTTTACTTCATTATTGAAAGTCCTTATTGAGGGTAAATTAAAGACGCTGATTTATAATGATTTTTGAATCAGCCGTTTCCATTCGGAAAACTTCAAATACTTAAACAAGTGTAATTGCCTTAAGACTATAATGATAAGTTATAAACTTTGAAAACATGTATTTTCACCTATAAAGCAAAGTATTTTACGCAAAAAAGTGTTATTAAAAAAGTTTTGAATAAAAGGATTTATAAAATATGGAGAATGGCCAAATTACCTCAAGTTGCTTGTTTAACAACAAAATACTATTATAATCCTGTCCCAATTTTTTTTCTTCTCCTCCAACTTTTTCAAGATCTTTACGAATGCTATGCAATTCTGCAATACAAACACTAAACGTAAGATGCTACAAAACTAACATTAGAATAACGTAACAATATATACCAACAGAAACTGAATATTCAATCACATTTACAGTAAAACGTACCATCTTCTTTGTTTGCAAGCAGTTGGTTGTTCTTTTTCAGCGTTAATTCCAACTCATCTTTCTTTTGTTTATTTTCCTCCTTATTAGCAAGAGAAAATAAAACATTTTATTTAATGAAATTTTTTATGACATCATAGCTTTCGAACATGAATCTATTAACTAACAAGTTGTCATAGCTGTACCAATGAACATAGTTTGAGATCTTCAAAAATAAACATATGATGATAACTAAATAAAGACTTGTCGTGGGGACAAATCTGAAAATAGTTCTAAAGATAGCTAATATCATAGTGAATGGTAAAATAAGATAATAAGTTGATAGTTCTTAAAAGAACTGTTTTTATTAAAGAGCACGAAACCAATAGTTCTAAATTAAAAGACACGATGCATTTCGGCAGACTACTCCTCAGGTGTCAACGTCTGCTAAATGAAAATATACAATCTATTGATATTTATAATGCCAAGAAAATGTATACGTCATCTCCAAAAGGGGAGATGACTCTCAAAACAGGGATAAATTAAAAACATAATCCTTTTGTCGGCAGAGGACGGGATTGATTAACTTAATTAAAACAGCCTCCATAACACGTAACTGAAAGAATGAACGGCGGGATGAGTAGTCTGCCGAAATGCATCGTGTCTTTTAATTTAGAACTATTGGTTTAGTGCTCTTTACTAAAAACAGTTCTTTTAATAACTATCAACTTATTATATTACTTTTACCATTCACTATGGTATTAGCTATCTTTAGAACTATTTTCATGTTGATAATTCTTCAAAAAAAACTATTGTTCAAAAATTTTGTAGAGGCCTAACGCAAAAAAGTGTTATTAAAAGTATTAAGTAATAGAGTTAATAAAAAAATGGAGAAGGGCCAAATCACCTCAAGTTGTTTGTTTAAGGACAAAATACGATAATAATCCTGTCTCAATTTTTTTTCTTCTTCTCTAACTTGTTCAAGATCTTTACGAGTGCTATGCAATTCTGGAACACAAACACTGCATGTCAGATGCTACAAAACTAATATTAGAATAACATAACAACATATACCAACAGTAACTGAATACTCAATCACATTTACAGTAAAACGTACCATCTTCTTTTTTCGCCAACAGTTGGTTGTTCTTTTTCAGTGCTAACTCCAACTCATCTTTCTTTCGTCTATTCTCCTCCTTTTTAACAAGAGAAATTAGAACATTTTATTCAGTGACATTTTTTAGGACATCGCTTTTGGCCATGCATGTATTAACTAACAAGTTGTCATGGCTGTACCAATGAACATACTTTAAGATCTTCACTTTTTGCCAATTCTGAAGCAAGTAGTTTATGAAGTCTTGCAATTTGCGATAAAACCCTAAAGATATACAAAGCCGACGTTTTCACGCCGTCGAATTTTTCTTAGTTTGATTGCTACGTAAAATTTGTGTTCACATGTGTAAAGTCTGATCATTTTTGGCCAATATCCTATACTTAAATCGATCAAATCCTTTAAAGTGAGCTAAAGTCTCTACACAAAAGGTACAGTTATTTAATTGCGCAAGAATTCTTGACTGGCCAGGTCATATTTGAATAATAGAGAAAAGCTACATGGTCAGACCATACTGTCAAGCTAAAACAAATAATCATAGAACTTATTCTCATCTTTCATGTGTTCTCTCAAACAACTGAAATATAATATTTACAACCATAATCTTGGAGTTTGTTTCTATTTCAAATCATCTTTGAATGGATATTTAGTTAACATGACTTGTCAATTTATATGTCACAAACTTGCTTAATCACAGTTCCAATGTCTTCTTGTACTTACAACATAAGAAAGAATGAAAAAACAGCAATGTAAATATTAGGTTGGTCTTGAAACAATCTTTTCTTGAATCGCATTAAGGTTTGAAGATTAGCATTTGCATCAGCCTTCTCTCCCTTGTAATCACGTATATTATACGAGTCTCGTAAAGAATCTAGAAGTAACGCGAGTTAATATGTTCATCAGTAGTCATCAAAAGTAGTTCTGATATAATAAAATAAATGACGTAGTTGTAACATTGTTTTAAATCTTGTATTGTGACGCCCTAGAGTTTATTACATAAAAGTATTTTACACACTTTATCCAACAGTGGAGACATATTTTGGGAATATGAACAAACGTTAAATGTTGAAAAGTGACATCAAAGATAGATCTTACATGAACATGAGGAGAAAGGTAAAGACTGCACAACAAAATTGTAGTGAGGAGTAATAGATAACAGATGAGATCAGAGAACAATGTCACAGAAAGAGAGAAATAGTACAAAAATAACATGTAATTTCTTACAGGGGATGAGTATAATTAAATGATGAAACTAACACAACTTTTAGGTATGTGTTCCAGATTCTACATTGAATGCATGTACATTATGAAATAAAGCTAACGAAAGTGTGGAATGACCAATACAAGGAAATGATTAAGAGAAATGTAAGAAAAAAGGAAGAAATTGCTTTCAATAAAAGAGAAAATGATTCGTTGACACCGGCATAACTTATATCAGCTGTGGGTGGGCAAACCCAGGACACCAGAGAAATCATCCTTCAAGGGGACATTCTGGGTTGTGTTATTTATGAAAATAAAGATATAAAGTAAGTTTATATTTAGGCAGGTGGAAGCACTGGAATTTTCATTTTGAAAGTCATTCGTGAATTCGTGTTCCTTGTTCTAAATCAAAAGCTCTATTTGGTAATTTTTTTACATATAAATTTAAAAACAGTTGATATTGTGTTCTATTAACGATTGTTAGGAAATGTTTATGTTGTTGGAGAGGCAAGGGAATCTCATCATTGAATGACCACAAACAGCCTGGTACGAACTTGAGCCACTGGTCGGTGATAACTGTGTCAAGTACACTGAGCTCACTACTCTACAAAGAGAATACTAAGACAAGATTCGAAATCATGGTGTGAACATCAAACTTGGTTGAGAAAGAAAGAATGCGTTGAGGAGGAGGCTACAGTAGAATAAACTAACATGCTTTTTTTGACAGTTGTTACATATTCGTCCTGCTGATTGTCAAATGGTAACTAGAAATTAATATTTGTGATAACATAAATACTAATGTTTGTGAATGAGCAAAAATGAACCATTTTGGGACATTTTTTGAAGTCATCAACGTATTTATCTTAACGCAATTATTTCATTTTGCAGGAAAATATGACCAGCAAAATATTTATGTATCTTCGAGATTAAACGATGTTTTATTTTTATTTATAAGATGTTAGGTAATAAGAATTTTTCTCTTTAAAGAGTTTAACATGAATAATAAATTTATTGAAAATACCATTGATAAAATAGAACGACGCCAAAACTAAAAGTGTTCTAACGTTCCCAAAACTTATATTTACAAATGGTATTTGTTTTGCAGTTATTTCCAGTTGCGTAGCCAGGGGTAATTCGTGTCATACTAAACACATCTTTGTATTTTTTTTTCGAAAATCGCCACTTTGCATAAAGTAAAAAGTTGCTCATTTATGAAATGCGACCTAAGTATGAAATACAAAAGGTATCAAAAATGTCGATTCGAGGCGTCATTCCGCAGTCGTTTTGTCTACTTTTTTATTTGCGTCTATTCAAGAGTTTTAAGTCGGGCCATACCCTTCACACTTAACGAAGAACTGTTTTTTCTCCTCTATGTACACGCTGTTTAAGAATTCGCTCTATTGTATATAATGTATCTGTAGTGCTACCGGGGGCATTTTGAGATGTGCAGGAAGATGTGGTGTATAATTGTTCTTGTTTATTAACAAAACTCTCTTCCATCCTCTAAGATTTGCTGATCATTTGTCTCATCTTTATCCGGTGGTCGTTGAGGTCTAGATTCTGGATAGCAAAAAGGCTTCATTCTATTTGCATGCACAGTAATTGAGATAAGACGAATGTCGCAAGTTGAGTAATGTTGATAAGTATTATTGACTGGTGAGCAATGTTGTACAACACGAAATGAGCCATGCTAGTGATGCATCAGTTTGTGTGATGAATCCTCTGAGGAGGATTTGATTTGATTTGGGCAGACAATTTCATGTTTTTCTGAGTAAGCTGAAGATTGTTGCGGGCAATAGCGTGCACTTCCTCCATCGTTTGTCTAATACAAGCCCTCTGTTTTTTGACTGAGTTTGTCAAGTTGGATGGTGAAAGAAGGGAAACATCCATAAGAAGGCATGGTTCCGCACGTATAAAAGAAATAAAGGGCCCTCCTCAGTACTTTCATGGGGAGTTACTCTATAACCAATAATATAGATGGTACGTGTGTGGCTCAGTCTTTCTGGTTGCGACTAACATACATTGATACCGAATGACAAAGTGTGTGATTGAATCTTTTAACAACACCATCTGTTTGAGGGTGGTACGTATGCTGTAGTGTTCGCTTTTTTTTTTGATTTGATTGCAGACAGATCGGACAAGCGCTGACAGGAAGTTAGTTTTACGATCAGATAAAAGGGTTCGTAGGGCACCATGGGTAATAAAAATATGCTCAAAAAGAAGACGTGCAACAGTTGGAGCATCCGTACTTGTGACTACAAACGTCTAGGGCCATCGACTAAGGTAATCTTTAAAAAAAACAACGTATCAATTTCCCGCACTACATAGAGGAAAAAGACCAAAAAATCTACAGCTAGCCGATCGAAATCCACCTGAAATTAAAAGGAGAGGAGCTTTATGCGTATTTCCTAGTAACTCTTTCATTGCACAATCGATACAATTTTGACACCAATGTTCAACAATCCGAAACATGTTCCACCAATAGGATCGATTCCGAATTTTACCATAAGTCTTTTGAACTCCAAGATGACCAGCTATGCCGTCATCATAATCCTAAACCATGACTTCGTGCCTTAATGCATCTGGTATTACAAGTTGAGAGCATATATCCCGGTGTGCTCGTTTGTTTGGTGTCCACCGAGAGAACAGGATACCGTGTGCATCAAAGTAAAATTTGTCTCCTTACAGAACAAATGAACAAGCTTTCTTGTTGAAGGATGGTAATTCAGTTTCCAGGAAAGCAGTGAGGTCAGCAAGATCGTTATCTTCATGTTATAATTGACGAATGTGCTTTAGTAGTACACCTGGTACATTGTACGCGTTCAGACTGAAATGAGGAGCATACGTGCGACGTGATAGAACATTTGCATCCCGCATTCTAAGCACCGGGTTCATACGCAATTGTAAAATTGCAATAAACTGAAGGGAGTAATGGTCAGTGTGAATTACAAACTTCCTATCATAAAGGGATTTGCGAACTTTTTTATTCCATCCAAAAGTGCTAAAGCTTCACGTTCAATTGTGCTATAGTTACGCTCGGCCTTAGTTAGATCGTGACCGTCGAATGCAATTCACGGATTTTTTTGTTTTGGGTTTGGCAATGAGAAAAACCAATACCAGTCAACTAAGTGTCGGTGTTCAACTTAAATGGGAGAGTAAAGTCAGGGTAAGCTCAAATTGGTCCCGTAGTAAGGCGTGATAAATGGCGTGATAAGGTGTTAAATGCTTTTTCGCATGCATCATTCCGATGAAAAGTGACATTCTAATGTGTGAGATTATTCAACGGCTATAAGACATAGTTGCAAATTTCCGAATAAACGCATTGTAACAATTCGCCAACGCGAGAAAACTTCTGAATTCACACCCTGATTGGGGTGCCGGAAAAAATTTGACGGCTTCAATTTTGCTCGGATCTGGTCGAATACCATCGCAAGACATATGACCTAAATATTTAACACTGGAACGAGTAAATGAACACTTACTGGGCTTTAGTTTAATGTTTCCTGCATGGAACCCACCAAAAACCTCTTTGATATGGGTAAGATGATAATCAAATGAGAGCAAGTAAATAATTATATCCTCCACACAGATGCATGCATTAAGCGTTGAAATGTGGATGATGCATTTACTAACGCAAATGGCATTCGACAAAATTCTTATAGGCCGCTACGTGTTGCAAAAGTAGTTTTTGGTTTTGAGTAGTCGTTGTCTTCCACTTTTCGTACTCGTATTCGTTAAAGCAAGTGAATGATATTCCTACTAACAAGCACTGACATATTTTTTGCCTTGAAAAGCGTATTTCAAAATTTAACAAAAACTTCTCATAATGTATATATTTCAAAATTAATGTCAACGAAATAACACTATGCATTTCTTCGACAA